ATAAATATTTTTTGATATAAAACAGCTTTTTATTTACTTTATATACTATCCTAAATTATTATAATACTTATATTATGGTGTACAGGAAAAAACTTTGCTTAGTAGGATCCACATTTATAATTTTAATTGTGGTAAGTGTAAATAGGCTGAAAATTAACATGTAACAATATTATTCTATATTTAATTATCTGGATGTTCCTGCATATATGCATCCTGAAGTCATAACCCAGAGGGCACACATATCCATAATATTTCCATTAGATATCTAATGGATATCTCATAAATATCCAGTGGATATCTACTGGACATTTGTGCTGTCTGGGAACTAACTTTAAATAGTATTTATTTAATAAATACCATGTCACAGAGGTTGCAATTAAACAATTTTTGTTTAGTGCTAAGTGTGCTTTTAGATAACTTTGGTGACAAAAAGCTTTGTCGCAAAAAGTTCATTCAAATAAATGTCTTGTAGTGTATATAAATTTATGCCTATACAACTTTAGAAAAATAATTCCACAGTACATACATTTAGTAGGTTTATCTATTACTATTTTTCTCTCTATAAAAAAATTATTAAATTATAACATAGTAGCATTTAAAACACAAGGTGTTCAGAACAAGTAAATTGAAAAATTCAAGGGATGATTTTATTTAAAAATGCTTTTTAAGGCATCTCTTAGTCACGTTCCATCACTTGACATAGCAACACGCATCATAGCAGAGCGAGCTCTTACAACGTTAAAGCCAAAACCAACAAATAATTCCTCATAACAACACAAAAAATAAATAAAAAAAGACATACAACAAAAAAACAAAACTTTCTATTCGAACCTATCGCGGACATACACATCAAAGCTGAGTACGACAATAAATCTGTCAACACAAACGCGTAAGGTACCAAACCAAGTTAATAGAACGACCTCAACAAAACAAAGTTTAAGTTTACCCAATCGAGACCAATAATAAACATTTGACACTTAGAACATAAACTAACACTCAATAATTTAAGAAAACCCACATAGTAAACATAGCACACTAATCAAATTTTAATGGATTTTGTAAAAACATTAGATTATACACTAAAAGTAAAGAAAAATAGCAACAATAAAAATGAAATAAAGAAAACAACTAAATCACTATAACAAGTGCAGGAACAATCCGACTTGGACACGGACATAGACAATAATGACCAAAACGTAGACCACGACTAGAAATAGCGGAATACCAACTCCTTACCTCCAAATAGTAATCTCAAATGTTTGGAGTAATAATAATTGCCTAGTCTAGGGAGATTCTGCTTCGTACTTAGATTTGAGTCCGCGTAATTGTCCCCCAAACAACAAAAATGTCTATCCCTCCCGTCCTACTTCCTTTATGACCCTACTGGGCGTATAGCATCGGCTCGGCGAACCCGGGAATGGCTATTTAAACAATTGGCATTTTGCTCTCAAGCAGTAAATAGGGGACAGTACCGAACGCAATAGACATTCGCACTCGGCAAATACGGGTGAAGCCGAGCAGTTGCTGGTGGCGAACGAAAATCGGCGTAAGGAAACATAGGCCTGTACGGGGCCCGGGAGCGATATACTCATACTCATACAAATGCTTTTTAAGGCATCTCTTGAAATGTGATTTTTCATTATTTAAATTGTAAATTTTTCAAAGAAATTTTTTTATAAATAATGATCAAGTCAAAGACTACAAAAGCCAAACCCACTGACAAACCCGTTTCCGCAAATGGAGGCACATCTTCAGATGAAGATTCAAAGACGTAAAATGCGGCAACTAAAACTGAAGTATATAAAACCAAAGAAAAGATTTATAAGGGCACATTTGTCATTGTAAATAACGAAAAAAGTTACTTTCCTGGGATGGTTATAAAAATAAAATGGGTGTATGGTTTCTTCTAAGGCTAAGGCTACATTTATTGGAAATGGCCAGAAAGGAAAAACGAGTTCAGAAGAACACAAGGGGGCATATTTAGTGGATACAATGAAAAAATAAAAAGATTAGTTACCGAACTAAACGGGCGCACTAAAATATATAACTATAACACTGAAATATATAATGCTCTGAAATATAGAACTTTTTATTTTAATTTAAATAAATATATTCCAAATTTACGATATCATTCTACGAAAAAAATATAAAATATTTTATGTAGAGCATACAATTTCCCACATAAATATATATACCTACCAAGTAAAATCACAACTTGAGAAATATCGTACACCCCCAAGTAATACATTAAATGTACACATACAAATATATTTTGTAATTTTTACAAAATTTTCCTACCACAAAAAAATAGAAACCGCTTTGTATTGATTTATAGACGCAACGCAACGCACCGAGTCGTCTGGAAATTTCTAGCGTTTGCATATACATTAAAATAGAACAAATTGTTACTTCTGATATCATCTAAATGGATGGTTTTACGAAAAAAATATAAAATACTTTTTTGTGGAGCATAAAATTTACTACAAAAATATGTTTTATATATAATAAACACCTAATATATATATGTAATACATATTATGTATGTACCTACTGTAGCTATTTATTAGCGAGGCGAATTTTTGTCATTGCAACTTTAAATAAAAAAAAGAATGTAGGCGAATTTTTGTCATTGCAACTTTAAATAAAAAAAGAATGTACCTATGCATTTTGTAATTTTTACAAAAAAATTTCCATCTCCAAGAAATAAAAACATGCATGTGTTTAATTTAATAATATTTTAAACTTTTCAAACAACTCTTTTTTGGAAAGCGTTTAAAGTTTATTTTTATATACATTAATAATAATTTTACAAGATGTACCAAAACAATGATAATGATAACTTTTTATTTTAATTTAAATTAAATTTATTTATTTAAAAAGATGGTTTTACGTAAAAAATATAAAATATTTTTTTGTAGAACATAAAATTTCCTACGAAAATATATATACACGTATAAAAATATATATTATATATTAGATACATATGTATAATATACTGTTGCTATTTATTAACGAGATGAATTTTGTCATTTGGGAAGGCTTAAACGACATCGGAAAACATTTTTTTTCCAAATTGTTTTTAGACTAAACAAAATTTATTTAATAATCTATATACCAAGTAAAATCACAACTTGAGAAATATCGGACACCCCCGTAATACATTAAACATTAGACTGGGCCAAAAAAATTGACTATTTTTTTTTTTTGAAAAATATATCGAGAATGTCATTCAGAATGACAAAAAAAAAATTTCGTGAAAATTTGAGCCCTCAATATTAATTTTAAGAGGTCTATCATCGCTATTTTTGATTTTTAGTCATAATATGATGTTTTACGTTGGAACTGTCAAAACAATAAAGTGAAAAAAATTCCTTGTCACTTATTTTTATAAAAAATTAAATTCTCTACAAAAAAGGTCTGATTGAAAATTTTCGCCAGACGAGCCGTTTCCGTGTAATTGAGCTTAATAAATCGATGTGTTTTTTCGATTTGCCCTTTTTACTTTGAAATTTTGTAACTAATGAATCAATGAATATTTAAAAAAGCTCACGTCGGATTCTTAAAGGAAATTTAATGTTCTACAAAAAAGGTCTCGGAACATTTTTGCCTAAATTTAATTCTTCAAAAGTTATTCACGAAGAAAAAATTGAAATTTTAAGTTTTTCTTCGATTTTAATCGTGAATAACTTTTGAAAAATTAAATTTAGGCAAAAATGTTAAGAGACCTTTTTTGTAGAACATTAAATTTACTTTAAGAATCCGATGTGAGCTTTTTTAAATATTCATTGATTCATTAGTTACAAAATTTCAAAGTAAAAAGGGCAAATCGAAAAAACACATCGATTTATTAAGCTCAATTACTCGGAAACGGCTCGTCTGACGAAAATTTTCAATCACACCTTTTTTGTAGAGAATTTAATTTTATATAAAAATAAGTGAAAAGGAATTTTTTTCACTTTATTATTTTGACAGTTCTAACGTAAAACATCAAATTATGACTAAAAATAAAAAATAGTGATGATAGACCTCTTAAAATTAATATTAAGGGCTCAAATTTTCACGAAATATTTTTTTTGTCATTCTGAATGACATTCTCGATATATTTTTCAAAAAAAAAAATAGTCAATTTTTTTGGCCCAGTCTATTAAACATATACATATAAATATATTTTGTAATTTTTACAAAATGTTCCTACCTACCGCAAAAAATAGAAACCGCTTTGTATTGTATTCTGACGCAAGTTGCGTCACGCAACGCACCGAGTCGTCTAGAAATTTCTAGCGTCTGAAATAAATATACATTTAAATAGAATAAATTGTTATTTTAGATTTAATAGTAGTAGTTGCATTATCATTTATATAATTAATTCTTTTAAACAATAATTTTAATATAAAAATATTAAAAAATTATATTAATTTTGTGGCAAAAGTTTTCTCGAGCGCGTAGAACATTCGAGATTGATCGAGCGTATTCGACCCCAGATTCGACCGTTCATATAAAAGCGAACCGGGCGCGCGGCTAGGCAGTCTATTTGAATCAAGCGAATAGTAAACAACAAAACATAGTGAACTGCGACTTAACCTGCCAAGTATTTCAAAGCTATTAAACAGTGAAATTAAATAAAAGTTTAACGTTCAAAGTATAAATTAACTAAAAAAGAAAATGGTGAAAGCTCCAGCAATTGGTATTGACTTGGGAACCACGTACTCCTGCGTCGGAGTGTGGCAACATGGAAAGGCCGAAATCATCGCCAACGACCAAGGAAACAGAACAACCCCTAGTTACGTGGCGTTCACGGACACCGAGCGTCTTCTGGGCGACGCAGCCAAGAACCAGGTGGCGATGAATCCAAACAACACTGTATTCGATGCCAAACGACTGATCGGTAGGAAATATGACGACCCCAAAATTCAGCAAGACATCAAACACTGGCCATTCAAAGTGGTAAGCGACTGTGGAAAGCCCAAAATCCAAGTTGAATTCAAAGGAGAAATCAAAACCTTTGCTCCTGAAGAAATAAGCTCGATGGTTTTGACTAAAATGAAGGAAACGGCAGAAGCTTATTTGGGATCGACAATCAAAGATGCCGTTATTACAGTTCCAGCTTACTTCAACGATTCACAAAGACAAGCAACAAAGGATGCTGGTCACATCGCCGGATTAAACGTGATGAGAATTATTAATGAGCCCACAGCAGCCGCTTTAGCATACGGATTGGACAAGAATCTCAAAGGAGAAAAGAACGTTTTGATTTTCGATCTGGGTGGTGGTACTTTCGATGTCTCAATTCTTACCATCGATGAGGGATCGCTGTTTGAAGTAAGGGCCACTGCCGGAGACACACATCTTGGAGGAGAAGACTTTGATAACCGACTCGTCACCCATTTGGCAGACGAATTTAAAAGAAAATTTAAAAAAGATTTACGAAGTAACCCAAGGTCTCTTCGAAGATTGAGGACGGCTGCAGAAAGAGCAAAGAGAACCTTGTCATCAAGTACAGAAGCCTCCATTGAAATTGATGCACTCTTCGAAGGTGTTGATTACTACACTAAAGTTACGAGAGCAAGATTCGAAGAACTATGCTCAGATTTATTCCGAGGAACTCTACAACCCGTTGAAAAAGCTCTTGCAGACGCCAAAATGGACAAGGGAGCAATCCACGATGTCGTTTTGGTTGGAGGCTCAACAAGAATTCCCAAAATTCAACAACTGCTCCAAAATTATTTCTGCGGAAAACCCTTGAATTTGTCCATCAACCCAGATGAAGCAGTGGCTTATGGTGCTGCCGTTCAAGCTGCGGTACTGAACGGCGAAACAGATTCAAAAATTCAAGACGTTTTATTGGTCGATGTAACACCACTTTCGATGGGAATCGAAACAGCAGGTGGAGTTATGGCAAAGTTGATCGAACGAAATGCCAGAATTCCATGCAAGCAGACGCAAACATTTACCACATACGCTGATAATCAGCCAGCCGTCACAATTCAAGTATTCGAAGGGGAAAGAGCCATGACCAAAGACAACAACTTATTGGGAACATTCGATTTAACTGGAATACCACCTGCACCGAGAGGAGTTCCGAAAATTGAAGTTACCTTCGATTTGGATGCCAACGGAATATTGACCGTCTCGGCGAAAGATACCAGTTCTGGCAATTCTCGCAACATTACCATCAAAAACGACAGGGGTCGCCTATCGCAGAAAGACATCGACCGAATGGTATCCGAAGCCGAACAATACAAAGAAGAGGACGAGAAGCAGAGACAAAAAGTAGCTGCCCGCAACCAGCTAGAAGCGTACGTATTCCAACTAAAGCAGGCAGTGAACGAATGCGGCGACAAATTATCTGCCGATGACAAGTCGAAGGTGGAGAAAGAATGCGAAGATTGTTTGCGATGGCTGGACAGCAACACGTTGGCCGAAAAGGAAGAATACGAGGAGAAACAGAAGCAGATGACGTCTGTGTGCAGTCCGATTATGGCCAAATTGTACGGCGGCGCCCAACAAAACGCCGCTGGAGGCGGAATGCCCGGGAGCTGCGGTCAACAGGCTGGCGGCTTTGGAGGTAGACAAGCTGGACCGACGATCGAGGAAGTCGATTAAACCAGTCCTTAATTTATCAGTATTTATTTATGTTTAATTTTAGGATTTAAGACTGATTTATTGTTTTTATTTAAATAGGAAAATAAATATTTTTTTGATATAAAACAGCTTTTTATTTACTTTATATACTATCCTTAAATATTATAATACTTATATTATGGTGTAAAGGAAAAAACTTTGCTTAGTAGGATCCACATTTATAATTTTAATTGTGGTAAGTGTTTTGCACATAATTTTTATAGGTTTTATTCAATTGTTATTGGAATGTATGATAAAAATAACCCAATTTTGTACAGGTTTTCAAAGTGTGTTATTACATATTAAATTCTGCAAGTTGTCTACATTTTGGATTGATAGATTCTCCACCACAGATATCACATTTTAGAACACCTCCAGTATGTTCAAGATAGTGCTTATCTAAACGCCCCTTAAGAAAAAAACCTTTATCACATTGATCACACTCAAATGGTTTGTATCCTAAAATTAAATAGGCTCAAAATAAACATTTAACAATTTTATTCTGTAATTCATAACCTGGATGTTCCTGCATATGCATCCTGAAGTCATTACTAACTTTAAATACCATGTCACAGAGGTTGCAATTAAACAATTTTTGTTTATTGTGCACTTTTAAGTGTGCTTTTAGATAACTTTGGTGACAAAAAGCTTTTTCGCAAAAAGTACATTCAAATAAATGTTTTGTAGTGTATATACATTTATGCCTATACAACTTTAGAAAAATAACTCCACAGTACATACATTTAGTAGGTTTATCTATTACTTTTTTTCTCTCTATAAATAAAAATAATTAAATTATAATAACATTGTAGCATTTTTAAAACACAAGAAAATTGGAAAATTCAAGGGATGATTTTATTTAAAATTGCTTTTTAAGGCATCTCAAATTGTAAATTTGTCAAAGAAAGTTAACTTTATAATATAAATAATGTTAACAAGCTGTATGCAATTCTAAAAATAAATAAATGTAGGAAACCTTAATTACACGTGGATGAAATACCCGCGACTTTGGTTTATCGATTTTTTTACTGCTGTAATCATGGTTGCCTAACACACTATGACCTACCTGGTCTTTTTAATCTTCTCGACTTATGCGTTTTTTTTAAATGCCTATTCAATAAAAGTCTTGAGGTGAATTCTAAAATAAAATTAAATAAAAAGTAAAATAAAAAAATTTTGTGTGAATACTTTACCTTGCTTACAATATCTACAAGTGTGTTGTTTGTTTGCTAATTTTTTATGATTATTTGTATCAATTATTGAATTTGGATTTTCTAGACTGTTTTCATTGCTATGAGCTAAATCATTTTTATGGCTTAATTTCATATGCATTTTTAGAGAACTTTCATGATTAAATGCTAAAAATATAATTTGTGTATATGAAAATTGATAATTGAAATTTAAGCAACTAGTTTTATAAACGTCATTTAATTTTGCACGAGCAGAGCAAGTTTTTAATAAACAAGTAATTTTAAGAAATTTATTAAATGAATTGCCTACTGTACTTTATCTATGACCAACACAGGTCTCAATGTTTTTTAGAATTTAAATTTTATTGTACAAATGTCAAACGCTTTTAACATTACTTTTTACCAATCTAATATCTGTCAAACAAATTTAACCTCACTTTTTCCCATCTGACATCTTTCAAACGGTTTTAACCTAACTTTTTACAAATTATTACCTTCTTGGCATTTCTCACAAGGGAACTTTTTAGATTTAGTTGTCTCATTTGTTCTAAAAAAAAGATCTGAAGATTTGGCTGCATAGCAATGTTCAAACTTTATTTCATTATATTCAATGTTATCATCGTTGAAATCCTCATCACTATTTACATCTATTTCATCTTCACTCTTTATATATTCAATTATATTATTTACAAATTCTTCATCCTCAGTTATAGGTACTTCCTCTTTAAAACATAGAGAATCTTCTATAACCTCATTTATGAGGTCAGATTCCATTAATGTTAATTCTTCGTTTTCTTCTACTGCTATGGTATTTTTATTTATTTGAAATAATACATCTTTTATAATAGCATCGCTTTGCAAGCATTGTTTTTTGAATTTATAAAACTTAATTAATTCGGGTAAACATGCACTGCAAATCGAGTATGGGGCATGATCGACGTTTTTCTCCACCTTAAATATTAAATTTTGAATAATAATTAATAGTTTAACTTAATAGTTTTTACTTACATCCAAGTTTAAACACGATTCAAAGATATTAACCAGTAATTTTTCTTCGCATATTATTTTAAATAAATGAAATTCGCTCCCACTTAAAAGACAAATTTTGCACAATTTTTGTAATCTGAAAGGATCCTCAGATTCCATTAAAGCAGCAACAATACCTTTCATTATGCTAATTAAATGTGTTTACCACTGAAAATAAAAATCACCTGTTTAGGGTACATAACCTCAAAAGTGATGGACTTTTTAAGAATTATAAAAGTTTTGAGTCAAAACTTTTATATTCTTCTTCTTTTTCAAAACAGGCATACAATTCTTAAAAAGTCCATCATTCTTTGCTATAAGGTGGACAGAAATGACTGCAAAAGGTCTTTGTCGCTTAGATGTCAATGCCGCAGTGCTGCCAATCATAAACCAACAGAATTTTTCTGGTTTGTTCCAACAGCAAGAAACAACACAAAATTTAATGCTTGTCGATTAATAGTTTATATGATTGTAGCGGAAGCCTATAATAATAATAATAATCTTTATTCAAAAAAGCCTTTTGGGCAACGAACACGTCAATACAAAGAAATATAAATAGCTGTACCTATAGTGATACAATACAAGTACACAAAGTATTAACAATAATTGGACATACAACCCAGCTAGCAAGGTTACGTCATTAGGACGACATTTTAAGGTCACCTTTCGTCGGCGACGTCACATGACCAATAAAAGACGGGTTTATGACGTCACATTTCCGACGTCATTTAGACGTTTTTATGTTGCGTCTTTCTGACGTTTTCAATAGGTGATTTTATATCACGTAATAAATATATAATAATACGTATAATATAGTAGGTATAGATCGTACTACCTAATTTTTGAACACCCTGTAGATAAAATCCCAATTTTTTTGTAGATCAAAACTTATTTTTTATCAGAAAAAAAAAATCCCTATCATCGATGACACGCAAATCCGTCTATGAACAAATAATTATCCTACAGGACAATAACGAAATACTATTTTAAACAAAATATTTTTTAATTCTAAATTTAGTTTTACAATTTCATTGCTGTCAATACCTATATATAGGTATTTATATTATTCCGAATAAAAAAACAGACAAAAATTCGTGGAACTTGTGAAGTGTCGATACATGGCGGGAAGTAAAGAACGCCGTGCTCGATACCACCAATCACAGACTGTGATTCAGTCAGCTGACTACTGTGAGATCAGCTGACTTTAGTGGCAGGCTGCGATTGCTTGATCATTTGTAACCAGGGTTGCCAGTTCTACTGATTTTTCAGTGGATCTACTGATTTGCTGATTAATCTACTGATCTACTGAAAAATGTTGTAATCTACTGAAAAAAAATATGAGGTTTATTTATTATGGTTATCAATAATATATAACTTACATTTATCTTGCATTAAATTCCGAATGCTCTATTTAAATACATTTACAAGCACTATTTAAAATTCTAACGCGTCTTAGCGCTTGATATGTTGGTAATACTGACCACGGACCTCGGGGAATCCCCGTCGGGGATTACGGGGGAATTATGTCAATGAGTAGAGGTTATGTGAAAGACCACGGGGACGGAGACTTCGTTTCCGTTTATAATAAATTCGGTTTATTGAATTATAATAATTAATATTTTATTTTTAATTACATATTTTTTTTATTGTGCAGTTGCAAAAATATGAGGTAAGTGCACTTATGTAATTTTAAATAGGTATACCGTATTATCTTTTAGTTCAAGTGAGGACTATAACTCTGAAAATGAAGGTTCCGGTCCGTCAAAGAAAAAAATAAATATGTTTAACATCGGAGCATCGGAATTCGAAGGAATGTTTATTTTATTTTTTTTAAATGAAAATGTTTGGTTATAATCGAGGTTATAACACATTTTTTGTTGCTATTTTGTTACCCTTGGTGACTTTTTTTCATTTATAAATAAATACATATTTTTTCGACGTTATAGTTTTATTTTAGTACCCTTTTCTAAAATTTGTAGAGCAAAAAATAAGTCAACTGAAATCTACTGAATTTTTGGCTACATATTTACTGAAGGAATGAAAACCTAACTGGCAACCCTGTTTGTAACCGTCCATGTTTTGCAACGGTGCACTACCGCGGTGGCGTTCATTCTGTTATTCGGTTAAATTAAGTTACTTAATAACTGTTGTGCAAATCTACAATTAAGTGCAGTAACTGCGGATCTATAGGTAGGTTTTACATAATTATTAAATCATTCTTAATTTATTTACCTATACCTATACTAGGTGTTTAAAAGATGTACGCCGTAGTTGAGTTTGCACACGACGGTGACGGGGGAATTTCCGCTATCAATACAAAGTGGCTAACTCCTCGCAAAAAAAAAGTTTACTGGCCACCTTATAAACAACAGTGCAAATACGACAAGGTGCTTTATCACGCATGATAGCTCGAGCTATACATAATGTTCGATTTATGGGATAGGTCTACTCTATTAAGTTTTTGTATTTATTTATTTATATTTTATAATATATGACATTTATAATATATTTCCTTGTTTTATTTATTACAATAAATGACAAATCTTGTACGTCTTTAAGACGTCAGTACTTACGTCATATAGACGTCTTCAAATGACGTTATTTGTACGTCCTAATATGACGTCAACGGTCTGTGACATTTGCCCGTTTCAAAGACGTGATTTTGACGTGATGTTAAGGGTGAATATGACGTAACTTGTGACCAAAAAATGCCGTGATTATGACGTCACCATGTTTGCTGGGAAGGTAAAGATAAAATAACAAATTGGTAAAATAGGTTTTAAAATAGGCTTTCAACTAAAATATTTTAAAATTTATAATCATAAAATTTCTCTGTGGAGTAAAAGAACTGAAGTTGTAATATTTTTAAAATTTCAAGTTTAAATTTTTTATCATTTAGTGTTTTTATATGATGTGGAATATGATTATAAATTTTTATTATTTAATTTTTTACACTTTTTTGAACTAATGACAGATTCAAAAATTCAAGACGTTTTATTGGTCGATGTAACACCACTTTCGATGGGAATAGAAACAGCCGGTGGAGTTATGACAAAGTTGATCGAACGAAATGCCAGAATTCCATGCAAGCAGGCGCAAACATTTACCACCTATGCTGATAATCAGCCAGCCGTCACAATTCAAGTGTTCGAAGGGGAAAGAGCCATGACCAAAGACAACAACTTATTGGGAACATTCGATATAACTGGAATACCACCTGCACCGAGAGGAGTTCCGAAAATTGAAGTTACCTTCGATTTGGATGCCAACGGAATATTGACCGTCTCGGCGAAAGATACCAGTTCTGGCAATTCTCGCAACATTACCATCAAAAACGACAGGGGTCGCCTATCGCAAAAAGACATCGACCGAATGGTATCCGAAGCCGAGCAATACAAGGAAGAGGACGAGAAGCAGAGACAAAAAGTAGCTGCCCGCAACCAGCTAGAAGCGTACGTATTCCAATTGAAGCAGGCAGTGAACGAATGCGGCGACAAATTATCCGCCGATGACAAGTCGAAGGTGGAGAAAGAATGCGAAGATTGTTTGCGATGGCTGGACAGCAACACGTTGGCCGAAAAGGAAGAATACGAGGACAAACAGAAGCAGATGACGTCTGCGTGCAGTCCGATTATGGCCAAATTGTACGGCGGCGCCCAACAAAACGCCGCTGGAGGCGGAATGCCCGGGAGCTGCGGTCAACAGGCTGGCGGCTTCGGAGGCAGACAAGCTGGACCGACGATCGAGGAAGTCGATTAAAATAATAGTTCTTAATTTATCAGTATTTATTTATGTTTAGTTTTAGGATTTAAGACTGACTTGTTGTATTTATTTAAATAGGAAAATAAATATTTTTTTGATATAAAACAGCTTTTTATTTACTTTATATGCTATCCTTAAATATTATAATACTTATATTATGGTGTAAAGGTAAAAACTTTGCTTAGTAGGATCCACATTTATAATTTTAATTGTGGTAAGTGTTTTGCACATAATTTTTATAGGTTTTATTCAATTGTTATTGGAATGTATGATAAAAATAACCCAATTTTTTACAGGTTTTCAAAATGTGTTATTACATATTATATTCCGCAAGTTGTCTACATTTTTGATTGATAGATTCTCCACCACAGATATCACATTTTAGAACACCTCCAGTATGTTCAAGATAGTGCTTATCTAAACGCCCCTTAAGAAAAAAACCTTTATCACATTGATCACATTCAAATGGTTTGTATCCTAAAATTAAATAGGCTCAAAATCAACATTATTATAATACAATATTATTCTATATTTCATTACCTGGATGTTCCTGCATATGCATCCTGAAGTCATAACTAACTTTAAATACCATGTCACAGAGGATGCAATTAAACAATTTTTGTTTATTGTGCACTTTTAAGTGTGTTTTTAGATAACTTTGGTGACAAAAAGCTTTTTCGCAAAAAGTACATTCAAATAAATGTCTTGTAGTGTATACACATTTATGCCTATAGAACTTTAGAAAAATAATTCCACAGTACATACATCTAGTAGGTTTATATATTACTTTTTTTCTCTCTATTACTTTTTTTCTCTCTATAAATAAAAATAATTTATATCTAAAATAATTTGCATCTCAAATTGTAAACTTGTCAAAGAAATTTAATTTTTATAAATAATGTTAACTAGCTGTAGGTATGTGATTCTAAAAATAAATAAATGTAGGAAACCTTAATTACACGTGGATGAAATACCCGCGACTTTCGCGATTTTTTTACTGCTGTAATCATGGTTGCCTAACACACTATGACCTACCTGGTCTTTTTAATCTTCTCGACTTATGCGTTTTTTTAAAATGCCTATTCAATAAAAGTCTTGAGGTGAATTCTAAAATAAAATTAAATATAAAATAAAAAAATGTTGTGTGAATACTTTACCTTGCTTACAATATCTACAAGTGTGTTGTTTATTGGCTAGACTGTTTTCATTGCTATGAGCTAAATCATTTTTATGGCTTAATTTCATATGTATTTTTAGAGAACTTTCAAGATTAAATGCTAAAAATATAATTTGTTTATATGAAAATTGATTATTGAAATTTAAGCAACTAGTTTTATAATAGTATATTAAAGAACTAATGTCATAAGACGTCATTTTGTCGCACGCGGACAATTTATAAAACGAGCGACGAAGGAGCGAGTTTTATAATGGACAAGTGCGACAAAAGGTCTTATGACATGAGTTCTTTATGCTATTTTATCTATTTTGCAAACATTTCATAAAACAAATTAATTTTATACCTTATATTTAATTTGGTGGAATTTTACTTTACATAGTTGGTATCACAATTTGAAGTTTGAAAGGTCATTAACCTTTCAAACATTATCACATTCTTTCGCTATGGCGTCGTTAATTTACAATAAGTATTTACAATAAGCGGCTGTTAAAGAAGAAAAAAGGATTTTCTTTGGTGTTAAACAAAATTTATTGCACGAAAAGTCTCGTAAGTACTAGAAAACAAATCATAAAAATATTATAACCTATAGGTATTCAAAATTGTATTTTACCAGTAGCCAACCTATAAAATCAAAATTTTGGGTGGAATAAAGTACCTCATTAAAGAACCAAAAGCGGTGTTATAATGAAGTCATTATGAAACCAAAATAGATAAACGTCATTTAATTTTGCACGAGCAGAGCAAGTTTTTAATAAACAAGTAATTTTAAGAAATTTATTAAATGAATTGTTTACTGTACTTTATCTATGACCAACACATGTCTCAATGTTTTTTAGAATTTAAATTTTATTGTACAAATTTCAAACGGTTTTAACCTTACTTTTTACCAATCTAATATCAGTCAAACAAATTTAACCTCACTTTTTCCCATCTGACATCTTTCAAACGGTTTTAACCTAACTTTTTCCAAATTATTACCTTCTTGGCATTTCTCACAAGTGAACTTTTTAGATTTAGTTGTCTCATTTGTTCTAAAAGAAAGATCTGAAGATTTGGCTGCATAGCAATGTTCAAACTTTATTTCATTATATTCAATGTTATCATCGTTGAAATCCTTATCACTATTTACATCTATTTCATCTTCACTCTTTATAAATTCAATTTTATTATTTACAAATTCTTCATCCTCAGTTATAGGTACTTCCTCTTTAATACATAGAGAATCTTCTATAACCTCATTTATGAGGTCAGATTCCATTAATGTTAATTCTTCGTTTTCTTCTACTGCTATGGTATTTTTATTTATTTGAAATAATACATCTTTTATAATAGCATCGCTTTGCAAGCATTGTTTTTTGAATTTATAAAACTTAATTAATTCGGGTAAACATGCACTGCAAATCGAGTATGGGGCATGATCGACGTTTCTCTCCACCTTAAATATTAAATTTTGAATAATAATTAATAGTTTAACGTAATAGTTTTTACTTACATCCAAGTTTAAACACGATTCAAAGATATTAACCAGTATTTTTCCTTCGCATTTTATTTTAAATAAATGAAATTCGCTGTCACTTAAAAGGCAAATTTTGCACAATTTTTGTAATTTGAAAGGATCCTCAGATTCCATTAAAGCAGCAACAATACCCTTCATTATGCTAATTAAATGTGTTTACCACTGAAAATAAAAATCACCTGTTTAGGGTACATAACCTCAAAACATTTATATTCTTCTTCTTCTTCTTCAAAACAGGCATACAATTCTTAAAAAGTCCATCATTCTTTGGACAGGTGGACAGAAATGACTGCAAAAGGTCTTTGTCGCTTAGATGTTAATGCCGCAGTGCTGCCAATCATAAACCAACAGAATTTTTCTGGTTTGTTCCAACAGCAAGAACAACACAAAATTTAATGCTTGTCGATTAATAGTTTATATGATTGTAGCGGAAGCCTATAATTGAGCAAAGCACAAAAAACACTTCTTGGCCGAATGGCATATCTACAACATTTATCTTCAAGGCACAATTTTATTTGTTACATAAAACGTACAATTATTTAAAGTTAAGAGGGCCGGCCTAGATTGGTCTAAATAATTTTTGAGTAAATAGGTTAATTTGACAACGCCGCATGACACGATAATAATCCACAGTAATAATCAGTCTATTCCGTTTCGCGCATACAAAAAATCACAGCAACACTGCACAGAATCTAACGGCGGCCATTTTTATGTTGTTTACAATCCGTTGTGTTTCTTACAGAGGTACTTGTAAGCCTCAAATGAGGCTGTATAGCTCTAACAACAATTTACATATGGTAAAAATAAATTCAATATTCAATTTTAAGGTTAATTTACCATAACCCACCAATTGAAATTTGACAGTTTGATGACAGCCCTGATATAACAGACCTTGTGTGGATGAAGGCTTTGTTATCTATGTTGTGCATGATGTAACCTCAATTCTACTAGATGCATATAACATATTTTGTACCAAATAACTTGGATGGAATGATATCTTAGAATTACCAACATGTTTTCCATTAAAGATATCTTAAAGGTACCTAAAGATACCTTACACTGTTAAAATAGGTTTTTTGTAGGAAAAATTAAACACAATATTTGTAGGTTTATTTCGTTTATTTTACACTAAATATTTTATTTCCTTATGAATATGGCGACATCACATATTAAAGCATTTTAATTTTTAACATACACAACCGTTTCCAAAATATCAGACAAATACAAAGTTTAAAAATATTTTTGTACTTCTTACTTATAAACCTAAATTAGGTGACATACCATTAAAATGTGGCAAGTGCAAATTTTAAAAATCGCAAAGTAATGCGCACAAGATAATATTTTTTAACAATTAAGTAATTTTAAAATACATTTATAAACCCCATCACATTTTTATCAGTGTTATATATAAAGACGAATAAAATTTATATCTTAGCCAAAAGACATCATTTTTTGATGACACCTTGTATTTTTTTAAATACCAAATATAGGCACATGTCTGTTTTTGTTTATTTTTATATAAAGGCAATACAATTTTAGGCACATTTTAAAAGTACACTTTTATTTAGCAACAAACGGTATACCTATACCTATACCTAAATAGGTAATGTGGAAAATTTAATTGAAAAAAAATAATGAAAAACGTTTTAATAACAGTAAAATGATTTTTATTATACCTCACTATTATTTTTTGTATTATGTTCAAAAATATCGTTTATTACGTGGCCGCACAATAAAGTTATTTTTTTAAAAATTTAATTTATCCCGGTCGGAAAAACAAAATAAAATGTTGTTCTTAAACGTTATTTAATAACTTTTGTATAGAAGTAATAAATTTAGTTAGGTCTCTCGAATATGTGGTATCATTTTGTACAAGCATTTCAGGGACACCTTGTATATTATTTTGACATATAAACTCTTTATTGGCAGTATAACTGAAAATAAGAATAATTTAATACCTGTAGCTATCTACATCCTTGGGGATAGATAAAGGCTATAAATTAGTTCGCTCGGATTCATTAATCAAAATCTGTTAAAAAAGATGGTCTTATTTGCCACTCCCTAGGAAATTACCTACCGGTATAACGTGTTGTTTCATTACCGACGCTTAAAAAAATACCACATATGCTGGTACTACCTGGTAGTATATAACGGAATGCCTATGTAAATTAACTATATTAGCGAGATACAAAAATCAAAATGACCGATCTCGTAATTTTACTTTGAAACATCTTTTACTATCACACACGTATTTCCTTGAGTTGCATAACTAAAATACACTCGCAACCATAATTACTTACATCTGGTTTGCATTCAAAAAATGTTAGTTTTTTTTAAAAATAAGTGGAATATCTGCAATAGTTAATACCCCTATAACATTTCCAACTCATTAATTATGTGTGCGAGTGTATTTCCTAGTGTTAATTTGCAATTTATAAGAGACAAGTTCTTGTGATACAGTTATTTCAAGTTCAGTTTCCCTAGAGATATTTTCATCGGTTTTGCAACCTAAGCGACGCCGTCATTTCTCAATCTCATCATTGAAAACTGTAAATATTGAAGGAAGTACACGATTTACTTAATGGCAAAACTCTTGGATTTTAATTGATCGTCTTTATTAAATTCGCTAATTGAGTTTTATGTTGAGATTGCGTTAATTGTAAAAAAAATAAAATAAAGGCAAAATAAAACAAAATAAAATTATAAATATTTTTTAACTTTAATTAAAATTCTTACATAAACTTATATAAAAAATTATACCTAATACAATTAAAATTCTGAATATGTTTCCATATTATGCGAATAATTAAGTAAATATAGCTGCATGCTAAAATTAATTGAGAGAAAAACAGTCGAAAAGGATGGTTTATATACATTTTACAAAATATAATTTTTGAGAATTTAAAAAATAGTTATATGGCTTTAATAAAAATATTATATTATAAACGTTTAAATATTATATTTTTATTTTTAAATAACTAGTTTTACGTGATTGTATAAGAAGTTTCTATTAATACATAGAATATAATCGAATTTTGGTATAACATGTAATAAAAACAATAATATACGTAAATACATAAAAAATTGCACAATATTTGATTTAAAGTTTGAGAATTAATATTACTCTGCTTTCAATAAAATTAGTAAGACTACTTACTACTAATTGGTAAAATTTTGAAATCACTGTACTTAAATTGCACTTTATATTTATGAAACAAATTCACGCGTCATTTAAAAAGTTTAGTGCTATCTTATGCTGTACTTATATTGTACTTATTTGAGATAAAATATTTGCGTCTTTCTCAATCGATAATTCGTTAAATCCATGTTTACGATTTTTGGTGATTGTTCCGCATCGCAGCTTTTTTGAGATAATGTTTTTTTTTGTAAATGGTCCAAAGTATATGGCACGCCGTTTTAGCATTTATCAGATAATAGTTTGAAGATTAAAGTTAAGCACTATAATAATGATGTTTTAACAGAAATTTAAAAAGTTAATTTTTTTAAACTCAAAACAATTGACAGTCAACAAATATTTTAAATATAAAATACAACTGTAAAACTTTAAGCTTAAAAATATTGATTTTTAAAAATTATAGTTCAAATATCCACAAATTCCACAAAATTATCGGTTTAAATTTGTAAAGTCATTTAAATGATAGTCGATAAATTTCATTCAAAAATTCACATATTTTTTTTAAATGTTAGTTTTAAATTTGTAGCGGTAATTTTTGGATAAAAAATTTATCGACTATCATTAAAATGGCTCTTTACAAATTTAAACCGATAATTTTGTGGAATTTGTGGAAATTGAACTATAATTTTTAAAAATGAATATTTTTAAGCTTAAAGTTTTAAAGTTAAACCAATAATTTTGTAGAATAAAATAATAAAACTACAATTTTTAAAAACCTATATTATAAACTTAAACTTTTACATTTGCATTTTATGTTTAAAATATTTTTTGATTCTCAATTGTTATGAGTTTAAAAAAAAATTACTTTTTAAACTATTTTGGTAAAAAATGTTGTTTATGTGTTTTTATTTTAAATGTCTCCACACTACATATTTTTAATTATTAAAAAAATTAACTTTATCAATTTAATCTAAATTATTTTATAAAATATTTATTTAGGATTTTAAAAATTCTGCCCAAATAAATTATACTAAGAAATTATTTTTATTAAAAAATTGATTGGAAATAATATTGTTTAATACAGAAGTGAACTTTTAGTAAATTTTGTCTTTCAATACCTACCTACATGATAGTTGAAAATATTTTAAATTTATTAATGTAAACCTAAAATTTTTAGTTAGGAAAATTTTAAACCAATAAAATATTAAATTAAAAAAATATTATATAGTAGGAATATTTATATAAAAAATCTGTGTTTTAACAACTTTAACATAATTTATATACATAATAAAATCGTGACATAATGGTTAAATTGAGAAAATTAATTACAAGTCTATAAAAATAAAACTTAAAAATTAAAAAAAAAACAGCGGTTTTCAAAATGTTTAAAAAACTTGTGTTGGGGTGCTCCATTTTCAGAAAAATTTTAACAAACAAAACCAATTTAACACTGGTTTTATTTTAACTAGTGTCATATGTTATAGTGGGTATACCCATAAAAATAATTTTAAACTTGAAAACACTGTAAAGTCGGTCAAAGTTCTATCAATAAATGGACAGTTTTAAAAGTGCGTGTAGTGCTTTTAGCAAGAAGACTAAATACGTATTACATTATTTAGTCTTCTTGGCTTTGAGTAAGGAAGGCGTGATCAGAAGTTCTGATTCAGAACTAGGGTTTTAAAATTTCCGAAAAAATTGGGCCTGCGGAAAAAACCGTTTTTTCATGAAAAAAACTGAAAAATTGGGAAATTTTCAGAAAAATTCAAAGGGTAATACGAAAAAATGCAAAAGTCAATTTTTATAAAAATTTACGGACACTAATATTGATAAAAAAATGAATTTTCGACGCTGAATCATAATATTATGATTATAATAATTTTAAATCAGTAGAATATTCTGCCGGGTCGCAAAAAAACATATTTGGTGCTGTATTCATAACTTTCGTTTTATTCGATTTATAAAATTATAATTTTGTAATTTAACTTTATAAATTATTCATTATTTTGTAATTGGATATTTTCAATGAACTCCTTTTTGCAAAATAGACCGAACCGACAGTATATTTAACTTTTACGTTTATTTTCTTACATCAATTTAATTTAATTCAATGTTTAGTTTTTTTTCTGGATATTTTTTTAAATTATGTGGTGATTGCCACTTTTTTTTTAAATGTGTACATTTCCTAAAAAACAATTTTTCCCAAAAAAGCCAATTGCATGAAAAAAAAACGAAAAAAAAAACAAGTTTGTTCCCCAACTTTTTTTCCGACACTTTAAAACCCTAATCAAAACGTTGAAAATAAGTCAAATGTAAACCGTCGAAATAAATATATCAAGCACATTTGTAGGTTATGTCAAAGGAAAAACGTAACAGAAAAATTAGATTTGTAATATTTTTTTCCCAAAATAAGCCAATTGCATGAAAAAAAAAACGAAAAAAAAACAATTTGTTCCCCAATTTTTTTTGTTTTTTTTTCGACACTTTAAAACCATAATCAAAACGTTGAAAATAAGCCAAATGGAAACTGTCGAAATAAATATATCAAGCACATTTGTAGGTTATGTCGAAGGAAAAACGTAACAGACAAATTTTATTTGTAATAATTAACAATTATTCACAGCAACAAAAACCGCTGAAAACAAATATAGAATTTATTGAAAATTTTGTTTTTGTGAAAAAATATATACATAACTCAACCTCATAAATAAAATAGTTCACCCAGTTATGTATGGCGGCGCTTCAAACGCTATATAAAAGTTAAAAGTACGTATATAGTTATTTTTTTCTTTTCAATGGAATTTACGATATTTGGTAATAAAAAATTGTTAAAATCACAACCATTTTTTAAAGGTTGGTAAATTTTGAGCCATTTCCAGCAAAAATTGATAATTCGAAAATGCTGCGTTGCGGAACATTTACCGATGTTTTATTTTGCTCCCTTTAGCAGTCAAATATTTTATGGCAACAAATAGCGCGCCGGATTTCCGTACACAAAAAACCGTTTTTCGTTGTCGGCCAGTTAGTTTACGACACGGAACTGATGGCGTTGTGCGGGGCGCCCATCTGCGTGAGGACCTTGTCCAGCCACTGCAGGGGCCCGTGCAGGTGCACCTCTATCCAGCACGGGGTGCTGGTGACGTCTTGCCGATGGTACTCCGCGCCCCACCCCTTCACGAAGCTCATGCGTATGGTGCACATTTTGGTGAGCTCGTAGACGGCCTCGAAGCCGTGGTTCACGCACTGCGAGAGCAGCTGCGCGAACTCGGCGTTGTTGAAGATGCGCAGCGAGCAGCCGGCCGGGATCTTGCACACCGTGGACGGGTGGAAGCCGTGGTGGTGGTTGCAGTTTCGCGACTGCACGAATATCGCCGAGTCGGACAGGCACTCGGCGTATACCTCGCCGTTTACGTAATAGAGATGCACGCCTTCAAATTAATAAATAAACCGTTTATTGATCCATTTTTTTCAAAATTCAGATATGTATGATTTATCGCGTTAGTGAAGAATTGTTTGATTTTCATAAACCATTCAAATCTGAATATAAACCGTTTTTTACATCTCTATTAAAAAAACCATTTTACGACAAAATATTATACAAAAAAGTTGTTTAGAGTTAACATTTAGGAACCTATACCAAATTTCAAAATTCTTGGACAACTTTGGTTTTTATTTTTTTTTTTACTATTATTGCCTTTCATATGGGGAAAACTAGATATGTAGACCAAATGCACAAAAATATTACTTATTTGGCACCATACACTTTAGAATTTCATTAACTGCGGTCAGAGCTGGGCAGTAGTTAACTACAAATGTAGTTAACTACGTAGTTAAATACTTTTTTTCTAAAAATAATCGTATTTTAACTACTTTTTTTTACCTAGTAGTTATACTCGATTTTTTTAGGTTTTCATAAAATATTCGTAAAAAGTAGTTAACTATTCAGTCGTAACTACTTTGTATAGTTAAACTACTTTAATATATTTTAACTACTTTTACATAATTTAACTACTTTTGAGGTACCTAGTTATTTAAGTAATTTCCTATATATGCCGTGCATGCACATGTGCATGATTGTATCCCTGCAGAAACAGGTTATTAGTTGTTGTAAAGAACTTGACAAACCCTTCGCCTAGCGCATTTTGTCTTATTTACTACTGTTATTGAGCAATCCTACATTTTGACAAGTGCATAAGTGTAATAAATAAAGAATAATTATGTCTGAAATTGATATTTTTTCAGGAGGTAAGTAAAAACGTAAGATTAATTAATTAATTTTCCAATGCTTGGTTCTTCAATCTCCGATTAACTTAAGTCTTAAGATTGCCTGCAACTTTGACTTAACCTGTAGTTTAAGTTTAAAGAGTGTTTTTTAATTGCCTGTTAAAATAATATGTCAGAGAGAGTAGTTAAAAAAAGTAGTTGAATTTTTAACTACTAACTACTTGTAGTTAGTAATCTAACTACTAGGTAGTTAAACTACTTTTTTAATTAAGTAGTTGGTAGTTATACTCCACTACTTTTTTCAAGTAGTTTGCCCAGCTCTGACTGCAGTATTCCTAAATTCTTACACCAACCATTGTTATTGTGATAGCATAAAGATTTATACATTTTTATTGGTTTCTTATGTGGAAAGAATAAGAAATCAAACTGTTTAGTCCCAGTCAAAATTTTCAATAATGGGAAATGTAATATATTCTAAATTTCACTTTATTAATATTATACATTTTGCTCAAAATTTTATATTGAAAAAATACTCAAATTTTTAAGATTGATGTTATTTATTTCAGCGGATTTGAAAAAAAATTAGCGTTTTGTACATCTCTACCCATGGTAAAATTACGTCTTTTATTATTTTGGTTTCAGGCCACGTTTTAATACCTTTTGTAAAAATCTAGGTAGTAAAAAAATAAAAATCAAAGTTGGAAAATAATTTTATAATTTGGTATATGGACCTAAGATATGATTCCAAACAACTTTTATTTATAATATTTTGTCGTATATTCAATATGAAAGGCACTGTACTCTAGGGTGGGCAAAAAAAAACTTTTAATTTTTTTTTCTTTAGTTACCTACCATGAAAATCGTCCAAGATGACGAAAAAAAAATTCTGATAAAGTTTGAGCTCTTAATATTAATATTAAGAGGTGGCTCATCGCGATTTTTTATTTTCCATTTAAATAACATTTTTTTGTTTGTAATTTTATTGCGTTTTAACGAATCACTGAGTTGTAGAAATCAATACATATTCTTGTAGGGAATTGAACGATCTACAAAAAAGATCTGATTTTTTGCTTAGTCGACTCGTTTAAAAGTTATTTGAAGTTAACCTCAAATAGTAAATGATGACTTTTATAGTTTTTCATGCTATATTAGGAAATATTGACTCAAAAACATCAACTATCATATTTTTCGTGAAGATTATCGAGTGTTCTTCGGTAAAACAATACAATTTTTACGAAATATCAATAATCGTGAAAAACCGGTATTTTTTTTCTATACCTACTTCATTTTTAAAAAATATCGAATTGTTTCTATATATAAGGAATGACAAAAAAATTAATCACTTTCTCAAAATATAATAAATATTCTATTTACACTTGACTATTAGGAAATAAAAGCCATGTTTCAATAATTTCTCAATTAAAATAAAAAATGATATTCCATAACTTGTACTTTTTTCACTATCTTAGAATCAAACATTTGTTGTACTCTTCTATTAATGTAACTCCTCTTTCTGCTACATCATTGAAAACGTTTGAAAAATACTAGATTATCTTGATAGCTTTCATCCTGTGTCCAAAATTCTACATTCTTATTGATAAAGGCAATGGGTAAATCAAATATATTAAATATATATATATATATATATGTATATTTGATACTTATTGCGAGTAGTTAAAAACCACGGGCAAAAATATCCCAATTGTAACAAGAAAAATTTAGTTTGATAGTGAAAAAGTAATGGAATAACATTTTTTATTTTAATTGAAAAATTATTGAAACATGGCTTTTATTACTCTACATTACCTAATAGTCAAGTGTAAATAGAATATTTAATATTTTTTAAGAAAATGATTAATTTTTTGTCATTACTCAGGTAAAGAAAAAATTCGTTAAAACGCAATAAAATTCCAAACAAAAAATGTATTTTCCCGTGTTATTTAAATGGAAAATAAAAAATCGCGATGATCCACCTCTTAATATTGATATTAAGAGCTCAAAACTTTATCAGAATTTTTTTTTCGCCATCTTGGACGATATTTTCATGGTAGCTAAAGAAAAGAAAATTAACCACCCTACTCTACTCACACAAAAAATAGTAAAAAGAATAAAAACCAAAATTGTCCAAGGAAATTTGGTATAGGTTCCTAAATGTTAATTCTAAACAACTTTTTTTATAATATTTTGTCGTATATCCTATATAATTGAATTCAATTTTTTTGGATTTCACACGAGTCGTTTCACCTATCCGAGGACACACTGCAGATCCCACTTCTGATGCACCTACACTTAAAGGGACATGCGATTGGAAACACTCACCTTTGCCTATGTGCCTGCGCGTGTTCTCTATCGTGGAATTCCTGTTCACGTTGCTCAACTGCCCCAGGCAGAACCTGTCGCTGTTGTTGCTGGGGTTCGTGAACCCGTCCACTATCACCGAGGTGGAGTGGCAGTGGAACACCTCTCCGACGCGGCAGTTGAGCTCGTAGTAGGCTATCGAGGCCCAGAAGTGCTGCTCCTGGTACGGAACGGGCTGCACGTCGCTCGAGAGCGACGGCTCGGGACTGGCGTTGTTGTTCGCGTTGCTGTTGTTCTCGTCGGTGGGGCTGTAGGCGGGCGGCGGCGTCTCCGCCAGGTTCGCGTACGGGCTCTGCGGGTTGTTCGACGCCACGCTGCCGCCGGGACTGGGCGCGCTGGAGAGGGGCGAGCCGGGCGGCAGGTGGTTGGCGTTGTTGAAGCCGTTCGAGGAGTAGCTGACGTTGTGCGGCATGTTGGGCTCGACGAGCTGCTGGAACGGCAGCAGCGAGTGCCCCGGCACGAAGTCGTTGTGCCTCGGCACGAGAACGGGCGGCAACACCGGGCTCTCCACGCGCTTGTAGTGGTACGGGTTGATGCACACTTCCTTTTGTTTCGCCGAAAACGGGAATTGGCAATGTTCGAGGGGTTTCAGTTCGTGGTGGCTCTGCAAGTCGGGCCACCTCCACACTCGGCAGTAAATCACGTGCGGCAAGCCCTTCCTGTGAGATACTTGCAACCTACCTGGAGATTTCCGGAAACATTTATTAACCGAAATAACCCTTTCATTTAAAGTCAAATTGGGAAAAACGGAAATTGTGGTATAAATTAAAGTGTAGGGGTTATTTTTTTCAAAATTTACAAAATATTTAAATTTTTAAACATTTTAAAAAACGGTGTATTTCACGTTGTAGGGATGTTATTTTTAGTAAAACGAACTTTTACAAAATTGTTAAATTTTTAAAATTGACAATTTAGTTTAGGCGTTGTATTTTAAGCATAACATTTTTTTTTCGAAATTGTCAAATTTTCAAAATCAGTATACTACGTTGTAGAAGGGGCATTTTAGGTATAATTTTTTTTTCAAATTGTCAAATTTTTAAAAGTATCCCGTTTTCAAAAATTACAAACCATTTAATTTTTTAAACATTTTCATAACGGAATTCCACCCTATAGGGAGGTTATTGTTATTATATCATATTAAACCTATTTTCAAATTTGACAATTTTAAAAAATCAGAATTTTAAAAAAATTACTGTTCTTCCAATAGGTATTTAATATTTAAAATTTTAATTTGTAAAACGGCATACCACGTTGTAGGGTGTATATTTTAAGTATTTCTCCCGTTTTCGAAATAAACAAAATTTTAAATTTTTAATATTAAATGTTCTTAATTTACAAAATATTTAATTTTTACTAATACGTTACGTTGTAGGGGGAATATTTTAAGTATTTGTTTCAAAATTGTCAAATTTTAAAAAATTTAAAAATCAATTGACATTTTAAAAAAAATTCTTTAACTTCCAAAATATTTAAGTTTTAAAAACAGTATACCACGTTTTAAAATTTAAAACAATTTTTTTTAAATTGTCGAATATCCAAAAATCTTGCGCGTTCAAAAATTACAAACTATTTAGTTACGTTACGTTGTATTCTAAGCATAACATTTTTTTTAGAAATTGTCAAATTTTCAAAATCAATTGACATTTTTTTTCTCAAAACGGTATACTACGTTTTAGGTATAATTGTTTTATTTCAAATTGTCAAATTTTCAAAAATCTTTACATATTAAAAACTATAATTATTAGTTATTATATCATATTAAACCTATTTTCAAATTTGACAATTAAAATTTTTCTTTTTAAATTACAGTTTTTCCAATATTTAATATTTAAACTTAAAAAAACGGCATACCACGTTGTAGGGGGTTTATTTAAAGTATTTCTGCCATTTTCAAAATTTACAAAATATTCAATTTTTTTAAACAATTTAATAACGGCATTCCACGTTCTTAAAATATTTAATTTTTACTAATACGTTACGTTGTAGGGGGAATATTTTAAGTATTTTTTTCAAAATTGTCAAACTTAAAAAAAATTCAAAATCAATTGACATTTTTTCGAAAAATTTCTTTCAAAATATTTAATTTTCAAAAACAGTACACCACGTTGTAGGAGTGTCATTTAAAATATAATTAAAAAAAATAATAAAATGATTTTTTTTTAAATTGTCGAATTTTCAAAAATCTTTCGTTTTCAAAAATTACAAACTATTTAATTTTTTAAACATTTTCAAAACGGTATTCCAGGCTGTAGTGAGGTTATTATTATTATATTATTATAATATTAAACCTATTGTCAAATTTGAATTTTCCAATATTTAATATTTAAATTTTTTTAAAAACGGAATACCACGTTTTAGGGTGTTTATTTGAAGTATTTTCCCCGTTTTTAAAATTTACAAAATATTAAATTTTTTAAACATTTCAATAACAGTATTCCACGCTGTAGGAAGGTTATTGTTATTATACCTATTATACTAAGCCTATTATCAAATTTGACAATTTAAAAAAAAATCAGAATTTTAAAAACATTTTCATAACGGTATTCCACGTTTTTTTTAAATTGTCAAATTTTTAAAAATTTAATTTTTTTTTTAATTTTCTTAATTTACAAAATATTTAATTTTTACTAATACCTACGTTACGTTGTAGGGAGAATATTTTAATTTTTTTCGAAATGGCAAATTTTAAAAAATTTCAAAATCAATTGACATATTTTATAAAACATTTCTTAATTTCCAAAATATATAATTTTCAAAAACAGTATTTTTTTCAAAAATTTAAAATTAATTTTTTTTAATTGTCGAATTTCCAAAAATGTTTCATTTTTAAAAATTACAAACTATTTAATTTTTTAAACATTTCAATAACAGTAGTCCACACTCTAGGGAGGTTATTGTTACCTATTATACTAAACCTATTATCAAATTTGACAATTTAAAAAAAACAGAGTTTTAAAAAAATTGTTTTTTCCAAAATTTAATTTTAAAATTTTTTTTAAAACGGTATAGGTTGTTTATTTTAAGTATTTATTAGTTAAATTGTCAAATTTTCAAAATTGACAATTTAAAAAAAAAAATTGAAATTACCAAAATTTCAACATTTTTTTACAAATCTGATCAAATGGTTTTAACCTCACATTTTACCAATCTGATAACCAGTGATAACTGTCAGATAGTAAACCTGTCACTTTTTCCCAATGCACTAGTGGATTAAGTAACCTAATTGTATTAAATGTAGGAGTAAATAAATAACTTTCATTTGTTATATTAACATATTTTCAGTTGTGATTCAATAATTTTTAAATTTTCCTATTTTCCCAATTTTTCCAATGGTCCAAAAAAACAAAAACGTTTTAATTCCAAACCATTAAATCTCTAAACCTACCATCTAAACTTCTCGGTATTGTAACACATTTGCTGGGTGTTCCTGGGCAAGATAGGGCTCTTTCTAGTTCTTCTATGGCTCCTTTTCGTTTCTTTAATTTTTTTACCAAGCTGTCAACCGCTTTTTCCGCCCATTTTTCCTCTTCGTCACCCTGTTTCCACCCCAACAGTTTTTTCACTGCTGGGCTTGTAAACGAAAACAAACTGTTCAGTGTCGATATGGGACCACTACTCGATGATTCCCCTTCATCCGTGTCCATTTTGTTGAAACTAAAAATAAAAATACAATCAAACAATCCGCAAACCACTAGGAAAGTCGAAAGAACAAATGGCACTAATAAAATAACACTTAAAATGACTCACAAATTGTTGTAGTGAGTCACATAATATTGATAATCTGTAGCCATAATCAAAATATCACTTATGATTGCAACTGCTGAAGATCTCGCTTAATACTAACCGTGCGATTGCTGCAAACTAGTATATATGTGCAACTATTACATTTTTTAATACCCAACAAAAATAAAACAGACTTTCCGAGTACATTGTACAACTTCCTGAAGCTTTCAGAGCAACGCCGCGGCGTTAATTCTCTATGGAAAACTTACCTTGGGCTATATTTTACTGTTCTTTAACTATAGATCGCCTGTAATATGTTTATAAATAAGAAAAACACTGAATTTTACAACTTTACATAAACGACTTTATGACGCCAACAGCATTAAGTAAAGGCCATCGTACAGAACAGAGATAGCGCTCTTAGAGAAGCCACTGTTGCCAAACTTACACCTCTTATTTTTATTCGAAAACACATTTTTAGCCGTTTATAAGGCTTCGTTTAGCATTTCTAAGTAATTGAAATTAATAAAACCCAATATTTATTCATAATAAAGTGCATTAAAGCTACGAAATTTTGCTTTTAATATTATATTTAAAAAGTGTAATCTGGGTTGCATAACATACAAACCAAGAATGGTTTAATGATTTCATAGAATACCTACCTACTTTTCTTTATTTTTTATTAACGGTGTCAGTATAACTAATTTTTTAATCTGCATATAATTTGCGTAAATAAATGCACAGATAAAATTAAATTAATTTAATTGAAACATGTTAGATAAGATAACATAAATCTGTGCTCGAAATTTAAAAGCTTTACTTAGTCTGCCTCAAAACGCATCACAAAATCGCTATTAAAATAAATGAGGGCGGGTTTAAATTATTTTCGGTGAAAACAAAAAATCCCGCCTAAATAGACAAAAACGCGTTTAAAAACAAACGAGCGTTTTTTGGCAGCGCAGTCGCGATGGTTAAGGGTGCTCTCGAGCGCACTAACGTGACGGTATTGATCGATTTGAAAACCTACGAGTGTCGTTATAAGTAAATTTTGTGTTGTAATTAGTGAACAATTGTGAATATGGCCAAGGTGAGTCTTTATTAATTAAATTAAGTGTTCGTTGCGGCGCCTAAGCTTTAGTTAGTTGTTTTCTGAGATGGCAAAATTACGGTTGAAAACGATATCTAGGTTGAACATTACGGTGGGAATGAAAACAAAACATGCTACCTATAGCAGGAATAAATAAGGATCAGGTGGTTTTTCGGTTTGATTGATTTGTATTTTTGTAAATATTGGATTTAAGTTGAAACCGGCTTTGTTTTGTTGAAGATATGTTTAGGATAATTTAATCAAAAATATAATAGAGAAGATGACAATTGGGTTATCTTGCGAAATCGATTTTGTGACAATATCAAGGGAATTCCTTGTTGTAGCCTACAATTTGTAGGGAAGGCATTTGACCCCTTTATTATTTATAATGAAATTAACTTTAGGAAATATGATATTTAAATGGGGATTAATTCACCCCTTTAGGGATTAAGGGATATTGAAAACGACTCTTTTATATTCCTGCGTTATAATTCGTAATTGTACACAAAAACTTTATGCCAAAAAGTTTTACTTTGCCACCCTGAAGCGCCTGGCCACACAACTTCACCAGCTGGCAAGTCCATAAATTATTTCTTTTTTAAGAAAATTTAAAAGGGTAGGTACATTTAAAAGGGTAGGTATTCATAGATTTGATCCTAGTTTAATGGACTCTTTATAAAACATACCTACCTATCCGTAAAAAGTAGTTTTTCACTTGCTTTTTATTTGACATTTTGTCTGACATCTGACAACTGTCAAGGAGTTTTACTTTTTAACAATTCAATGCACCTTATAAACTGCTTTTTAATACAAATTATTATTAAATGGTATTTAATATATTAGATATATCTACATATACATAGTTTTTATAAAAGGTAGATACGTTTGCCATCTGTTAAAAATCGATAACATCATGATTTAATAACATCTTTTATATTATGGTATTGCATGTTAAATTTATTTTAATTACCTAGGTATCTACTCACTGAAAAATATGGGCCCGTTTTATTTTTTATTTAGGCATTATTTTTGTGTTAACCCTGGAGTGATATTTTTAATTAGATAAAAAATACCTAGGTATCACATAGGTATCACATACCTAATAGTTTTTTTCTACGACCACTATGTAAAAGTCACGTTTTCTAATGGCATTGTTGCTTAGAAAATGAATCTTTTCATTGGCAAGGCAAAACACAAATGAAAAGTGACATTTCTGTGTGAAAAGAAATTGACAGCATCGTTTGACATTTGTTTCAAAATTTGTATTGTATTTGTATATGATTGTCTAAATATCATTTAGAACACAGTTAATTGTGTTTGTATACTAAATTCTAATTTTTAGTGCCTTTATTTAAATTGAGAAGGTAAGTTTATTGATTTTAAGTAACTTATACCTTAAAAATTAAAAGATGAATTAAAAGATGAAGTAATTTTAACAGCTGTCAAACACGTTTTTAGGTTATTTTGTTTTGTATTTGAAAATAATAAAAAATAAAAGTGTCGTGCAAAAAATATTGTGTTTCACATAATATTATGAGAAAAGCTTTCTTCAAGCTCGTGTTAAATTAACACTGTTAATGCACACTCGGCCTAACGGCCTCGTGAGCAACCTAAACACTTGCATGAAAAAGTCTCTTTTTAACACTTGTAAAACAAATAACTATTATTCTGCGAATTAATAATGTCTTGGCAGATATTTTAAAATTAGATTTAATTTTTATGCCAAAGTGATATTTTTAATTTAATGGATTTTAAAATATTTGCTTCCTATATTTGTATTTTTTGTATTAAAAATATCATAGGAGATATTTTTAATTCGATTTACTAAATTTTATATATTTTACAAGCAGATATTTTTAATTTAATTTAAAATATTTGCTTATATTTGTATTTTTTGTTAAACCCATAGGTATGTTTAACTCGCATATACATATCTACTATGATATTTTTTACCTAATTGAAAATATCACTTTAGTGTTAACACATAAGAATAACTCTAAATGGCGCTCCATCGAAAAATTTAAATAAAAAATACCAATTAATTAATCAACATAGTTCACAACACTGCTTTAAAAAATTGCCGTTTTACCTGAATTACGTGCAAGTCATCGTCAAGACCAAGATTTACGATGCGTATCGTAAAAGCGTTTCTTGTTCCATTCAAACATTGATATATTACTCGAAAATTTCTTTGACACCCGCGTGGGTGTACATCGGCCAAGTGGGCTTATATTTGAAGAAAATTCATTCATTCACTAAGTAAGTGGGTAATACAGCAGTGCCTTAAAACTTTCTTAAAAAAGAGATTATGTGTATAAACTTTTTTTTGGTTTATAAAATAATCATTATTATTGCTCTATGTACGTGTAATAAAAACGAATTATAACCTTAACCCGTAACTGATGAGGTGGGGGTTTGCGTAACCCCACCTCACCAGTTTTTTTTACTAGAATTTAATGGAAATACGATTTTGTTAAAACTTTGTTCCTTTGTATGTTTTTTAACGAATTTTAGAAACGTGTTTCGCTATTTTAGAGTTTTTTTTATTCTATATTTTCAGTTTGATTACTTATAGCAATTAAAAATATGTTTTGAAGTTAGTTTTGTGGAGTCGCACAGTAAAATTTAATTATTGCAAAATTTTTTGTTTTTTATATTTTTCTTAAAAGTATGTAGGTACTAGAGTGTCCGTTAAAAATTTTTTTTTTTGCGACGCCCCCTAAGATCCTTCTTTTTGATGAAAAAACACTGGGAATTTTCTTTAAATTAAAAACAACACGTGCCTCAAGACAATCTAAGTTAATTTTTTGGTATAATCGTGTTTTTTTCGTATTTTTTTCTGAAAAAATAAAATTTTATTCGAAATATAAACAATTATAGAACCCAAATCAATAAAAAAAAACAATAGTTAATCGAAATAACAATAGACAAAAATTTAAATTAAAAATTTTTCCCAGTCTTTTAAATAAAAAAATTAAAGATATTTAAATTGATATTTTTATTTTAAAACTAAATTAGTACACACGTAATTTTAATATCTAGATTTCTTCACTCCAAGGTGAAGTTATTTCATTGTTAATAATTTTTAAATCTCAAAAAAATTATTATTCCATATTTTCAGAAAAGACATGATTATACCAAAAAATTAACTTAGATCGTCTTGAGGCACGTGATGTTCTTAACTAAAAAAAATCCCAGTGTTTTTAAAGCTTTTTATGGGGCGTCGCAAAAAAAATAATTTTTAACGATCACCCTAGTAGGTACGCATTATAATCAATAAAGGTTACTCAAAAGTGAATAATAAACGAACATTCCAAAACCGCCACTTTGTACAATTACTCCGTTTTTGTATTTTTTTTAGTTGATTTTCTAATTACTACTTTAACTAATAATGAATGATTAATATTATTTAAAAATTGGAATGTTCACATGTTTTGTATTGCAACACAAAACATGTGAAAATTCCATATGTTATATGTTTTAATTTATTAATATAGGTAATTAATATTTATTTGTTATCAAATTATTTTAATTTTATTAAATGAAACGCGTTGTTATAAATTTTTCATAAATTAATAATTACAAAAATACAGTTTTTATCAATGGTACAAAAATGTATTGTATATTTTATGTAAATATTGTTTATCGGTTTAATGATTTTTATAATTAAATTGTGTACTCAATTGTTTTGTAATATTTGTTTTTAAACAGTTTTTAAACAAAGGAAAATGTGTTGCTTTAATGGAAAGTTGCTAACAACTTATTACTTTTTAATACACAATGTCATTGACTTAATGGCGTTTTAGTAACGGGCTGGAGTTGGCAACAGGTCACGGGGCTGAAGTTAACTTTAAGTAAGTTGACAGTTATTGAATGTCATACATCACTTTCATTGTCAAAACTGCTTCTATATCATATTTAAACCGTTGTTAGTCCATTTTAAGAGATACATTTTGATCTTTATAGAAAAATTTGACAACTAACAATGCCATTTTGAAAGTAGGTAAAACAGATTCACAGGTCTCTATTTTTGTGTGGATAGAAATACACTGCCCGTCAAAATTAACGCTTAATAAGTAAAAAAATTCTAACTCTAAAACGCCTTTACCAATCTTTATAAAATTTTGGATAAAAATACTTTAACTTATATCTCAGTTTACGTGTTCAAGGGTTTTTCGAGAAAATATCCTAAAAGCCCTTTTATTTAATAATAAAAAAACGCCCCAAAAAAAACTTTTATAAGGAATTTATTTTTAAGTAAATAAAAAATTTGCTTTAAAAGACCGTCTTTTTATTAGAATACCTTAAAAATGTTCTACAAATCAAACGAACAGTAACGAAGATACAGCGTTTTAAAGTCGTCAAAAATGACCACTTTTCAGCAAAATAATTAAAACCGTCTTTAAAGGGCTGTAACTTCGTTAGTATTCGTTTGATTTCTACAAAATTTTCAGGGTATACTAACAAAAATACGGTATATTTTTTATTTACTTAAAAAAAATTACACTGAAAGTTATTTTTCGAACGTTTTTTCATTATTAAATAAAAGGGCTTTAAAAGTATTTTCTCGAAAAACCCTCAAATACGTAAACTGAGATATAAGGATTTTTATTCAAAATTTCATAAAGAATAATGAAGGCGTTTTAGAGTTAGATTTTTTTTACAGTGGTTGCAAAAATTTTGGCCAACACTGTATATATCATTTATAAAAAACAATTAATTAGTTTGTTTTATTGCTGCAACTTAAATAAATATCGAGAACTACTTTTTAGGAGAGGAAGAAGACGCGCGCCAACCAATAAAATTAACAATATCCTCGTGCTAACTTTTCTAATGAAGTTCTTTAAGTTGCGCAACTACTATTGTATTTATCATTTTTGTTTCATTGCAAGTTTTGTTATTTTATGTTTTAAGATTTTTGAATAATCGATATTTTTAGTTTGATTTGCAACAAATTGCATGTTTTGCTATTTTATGGTTGTAAGATTTTTAAAGAATTA